TTTCTCTGGTTTGTGAAGCTGGGTAAGGAAAATTCAGTTGTGCTGAATTTACTAAATCTTACTAGGTTTATTGTGGGGTGCAAATCCTCACCCCCAATGTCTTTCTCATATGTATTTTGTAGGTTCTGCTTAATATTTATAAACCGAACCTTCATTCATCAGGTTCCAATCTGGTCTACGAATTTTTGTATTCGCTTAGTATTTTCATTCCTTCACTTACAATTCTTAACTCTCTCAGTATCTCAAGTTACTAAACGACTTTTATGTGTTATTATCACTCAATCAGCGACACTGCCCTGTTACACTGAATCTAGGTAAGAAAAACGTCACAGCAAAAAATTCACAGAACAATGTTAACACTGTTTCTACGTCTTTCTTTAATAGAAACGTTAACAATCGAATTCCCACTTTTTTGAGGTATCAGATAGAAATTGTGGCTGTATTTTCTTCCTTTTTTATGGAAGAGCGTACACTGCTGGTGAACCGGAAGTCACCCGTGATTGGACAATAAATTGCCAAGAAGTGTCGTTTGGTGTGCATATTGGAAGATAGAAAAAATTGTAGCTGACGGAAGGTACACAAGTCGATAGCCAATCAGTATCGGCAGAGTCACCGTGGAGAGGGGGTATGATGTGTACTAAAGCATCTAATAGATGTATTTTACGAAATGCCAATCAGTCTCAGTAAAGTAGGTACCACCACAGACAACGCGATATCTAGGATGTAAAATGAATTTTTAAAAATGAAAAATCTTTTTGAACTTTTTTTTACTAGTTTTAATTCGATGCTAATAGATTAAAGCAAATATTTTGCTGTATTTCAAAACTAATTAAAAATAAAATTTCTCCACAAAATAAGGTACTTACAAGGAATTCTTTAGAATTTAAAAAGAAAAAGAAAAAAAAATCTGGTTTTGTTTTGTTTATCGGGGTGAGCGCGAATGCAGACCCCACATTTAGAAATAACGCAACCGAGTCGCCCATAGTTTGGACAATCGCAAAGGCCAACCCGACCAGAGTGAAATGGAAGTGCCTTGCTCTAGGAGAATTTGGTGAGAATTCTAGTAAATATAAATTCTTTTTATTTTAGGGTGAATTAATATTTTGCTGTGAATTAACAGAAAAGATCTTTAATCCAATATTTGATGACTTCAATGTTATGATTTGTGAATTATAAACAAATTGCAACACATCACTTGTAAATAAAATTCGATCTTACAAATAAACCAATTAAGGTTCACTAGTCATCTTTAATATCAAAAAAGAGAAAATATTTGCTTTTATTTATCAATCATTACCTCTTCTCTGCTATCATCTTTTTGTTTCTTTAACAAATATCATCTTTTCAAATCAAAAATGAAATAAACAAAAATGAGATATTTTGTTATTATAATGAAATAAACGAAGAGTTTTTTTTTTAAATCATTTTTCTCCTAGTCAGGCTTTCTTTTAAGATACGGATAGGAATGACAATTCGTAAGATCTTGGTTGCCATGGCAACAGACAGATTAAAACTGTTGCGTCTTCAGATTGACCCGAACCAAAAAATATATCTCGATGAAGGTAGGAAGGAATGATGTTGAAGGTGACTAAGTTTCTTCTGCCATATAGCTTGTCAAGCACGTGACTACGCTTTTTTTTTTTTTTATTTGCAGAGACATTGTGCGTCAATTTCCTTTCCTTTAAACCGAGGCTCTCACGAGCTTTCGTCATGTATGTGCGAAGCCTTCGGCTATGTTCCTCTTTGATTCTTTTGTAATTTTCACTTTATTTCTCTTTCACTTTCACTTTCTCTTTCTCTCTCTCTCTCTCTTTCTCTCTCTCTCTCTCTCTTTCTCTCTCTCTTTCTCTCTCTCTCTTTCTCTCTCTCTTACTGTTTCTTTTGATCGTTTTTTTTATTAGTCGATTTTGTTCTTTTCCATTTCCTTTTTTCTTTCTTTCTTAATTTCGATTAATATTAATCGATTTCTTTTTTAATTTACTTACTTTTTCCCCTCTTCCTTTTTTCATTCTTACTCAACTTCCTTCTTTTCAATTTCCTTTTTGCTCCTCTCTTTCGTTTATTCTTTCCCG